CCTTCAGTTTCCCACCTTGCATGGATTTATATATTGTTCTATTCAATGATTTAAGCAGTTTTTAATTTAATTTGACAATATTTTTAATTTTGAACCATTTCGGTCCGAAACGTCAGATATCCGTAATTAAAGAACATTTTATGCGGTCTTCCCGTTTGTGACTTACCAAAAAATATACCTTAATCACGAACGTTTTTCAACAAATTTAATTTTTATAATTTAAATCACTTCAAAGTAGTTTATACCTTCGAGACTGTCCAATGACGGAAAGTTCGCAGGTCATCTCTAACAGAGAAAACAATGCCTTCAAGTATGCTAAACCGAATGAAGGAAACCAACTTTCAGACCTCTGCATCTTCAAGTGTTATATCATCAAATTAAATTTAATAACAGAAAAGCTGGTTAGCTGCAACAGATCCGCCAAGATTTTAGTAGTGAGTTGAACAAATGAAGATCATATCTGCTTGTAAGTAAAAATGCTTAGGCCAACGACCTTCTAATATATAAGAAGAATGTTCTAACTGCAAACGAAGGGAAACATATTGGAGGCTTCATCAATATGCATTTGTAAGCAAATCATAATAAATCCCACAAATCACATAAAATTGGACATCTACTAAGCGCTGAAGGTTGCCACGTCTGAGAAACAAGGTAATCTCTCCTTATCAGTAAATGCATAACAGAATAAGAATAGAGAAAAATACGCAGAGACGAAAAATTCTTCTATCATATTCATGTACAACAGGCAATAGTTGCAGTAATGTTTCACGGTGATTATATTTGACACAAAAGTTGGCATTCAGTGACATAGCATCTACGAATAAGTTTTTTCATCTCGGCAGTCGTTGTCGGTACACGGTCCCGTTTCATACGAACGACCATCGCAGAAACTCAGCGCAGGCTTCCCGTCTTCCATGCAGCTACGTGTTCTGGTCTTAGTCTTGGTTTCACAGTGACAGCGTCCCCATAAAGACCAATGGTTCCACTGGGGGCCTAGGGAGGCTTCACTTTCTACGAACATTGATTTATGACGATCTGGAAAGTCCAAGCGATCATTATTACGAGCCATCGGTAAAAAGTGTCGGTCGCCTGGGCGTACATCTTTACCAGCTAACGCCCGGTCTACCATCGCATATTCACTACTCAATGCTGGCGATTTTCCCACAGTTTCATCCTGGTCTGATCCTACAACCGTCAACGGCGGATAACCTTAATTAAGATTCATATACTATCAATGCTACGGTAAAAACTTAGGTTACCAGTAAGCTTCCTGTCAGTCCCTGTCAAAGGATGTTCGTATATTCGCATCGCATACCTGTGTTGATCTCTGTTCGATTCCTTCTTGACAACGTACGCGGCTTTAGGTCTGAATTATCAATGCCACGTTATTACCGTACACGACCAATCGATACTCGTAAAAACATGGGCTTTCCCTGATGTCTTTAAAACATATGTAGCAGCTTTAATGATCTATAGATTAGCATGTCTGGAAGCGCCGTAAACCGTTTATTTGATGAACAACGCATAGAGGCAATATTCGAATGACTGACCAATATCGACGTTTCGATCCTTATCTTGTCAACCATTTTCAAGGCAAAGACTGCAAACCACCGTATCTAATACAGCAGAGCCATTCAGGGTGGAATAAAAACCTACAATCGTTAAATCCACAGCTGCATGAGCATCACAGATGGTCGCTTTCTACAAATGCGTTTCCAATTTATATTATAAAGGAAGGTGTTATATAACTTCGAACTGAACCCATTTGGGAAGAACTCTCATTTCGATCCATGAATTGGAACATTCCTCTCCTCTCATTGCTCTTCTCTTCTTTCTTTATCTATATAAAATTGCGATTTAACTTTTAGACGTTACTCTATTTGTTTTTAATGTATTTTCTTCCTTTATTGTAGTCCTTGATAGTCATAATCATCACCAGCCTTTCGCGATTTAATGCTTGATGACGACCTCTTTAAGACTTTGCCATAAGCTTCACTTTCCCGCCACTTTTATCCATTTGATCCAAAGTTCTTCAGCTCATCCTGCCATTGATCTGGCGGTCTTCTTGCGGCCCACTTACTGTCTCTTATGATTCTTTCATGTTCTGTATTTACAATCATTTTTCTTTCAGAAAAGTTCAATTAATTTCATTTTCTTTCTTATCTCGTTCTCCTCAATCGCTTAATCTACATTGTCAATATCTTCTGCTCTACTTATCACATTTTTATCTCCGCATTTGCTTTTCCTCTTCTTTTCTTCCCGATGTTTCTACCTCTTCTCGTCACTCTCCTTCGTTTTCTTTGTTCTACCCTTTGTTCATTGTCTCCTTCCTTTCACTCACATTTTAAACTTCATTCTCCGCAATTATTCTCGCCTCCTTCTCTTCTCCCTTTTCTTCCCTATCTTTCAAACGTATTTTCTCCTTCTGTTTGTTACTATTCTACTTGCACATATGGTCCCCATTTTTTCTCTTTTTGATATTCCTTATTAGTCTTTTATCATCGTCCTTCTCTACCTTCTCTTCTTCTCCAGATTCTCTTTTTTTACCCAGCCTTCGCCTTCTCTTTTGAACCATTTCGTTTTGAATTCTACCAATTATTCCTGTTATTGTATTCATTATGTTTCTCGTCACCGATCTATCAGCTTTTGTGTCACGTGTTCAAGACCCACACTTCATTTTCTTTCAAATTACCTAATATGCGTGCGAATTTTCGACTGATCATTTTTTGTTCTTCCTTCGATCTAATGTATTTCATACAGAATATTCGTCCGAATAATCTGGTTATAATGCTGTTAACTCGAAAGCATAACAAAATTCTCCTTACTTTGCACTCTGATAATGTAAAACCGACAGAAGTTATTACACCAATATTCAGCGAAAAACTGCATGGCCCCTTGCCACTTGTCGCCATTTAAACATGTAATTGCTCCAATCATGCATATTTCACTTTACGCAATGTTTCAATATAATAAATTACACGCAGATTCTTGTAGCACTCCGTATAAGTTTTCAATCAGCCACTGCCTTAAGAAAGCCGATTTCGTGTCTACGCCTGGACGACGGAGAAAGTCGCATTTTACATCGGCGAAAATACAGTCAATTTTCATTTTGTGCCCGCTACGGTAGCTTGCAAGTCAATAATAAACCCTGAAACGGTCAGCGACGAATCAGTGGCATATATTCCAATGATTTGCTGGAAAATGTTATCAAAGTTGCAGCAGTTAGACTATGAGTTCCATTGTGAAGACTCGGAGATTACCATCCATCTTCTTTCAATACAATTATCCTCAACGAGAACATGACTACAATTACATTAAAAATCAATTGAAATCAACGGTTTTACCATCATACCGAAAATGGAATAACATTTTGAACTGTACATAAGATGTACAATTATTTTCCAGTCGCTAACATCTATACGAACATGTATCGATGAAGTATCATTCATCAAGTAAGGCTTTGATTCAATTTTCCCTCTGGCTTTTTTGGCAAGGCGTGCTGTTACAGTGTCAAAAATGTCTGCTATGAACTCTGGAGGAGGTGCCGGGGGATGAGCGATCCAATTCCGCTCGCGGACAATCTTTGATTTACTAATTTCCTTGAGTAAGAAATTTACTACATATTGTTTTAGACCGAGGTTCTCATCGGTAGTGTGTCGAAATTATAGCCGATAGGTCCTGAGTTCAAACCCCGGCCGGGATCACTCACCATTCTTCCTTCTGAGGTTGATAAATGAGTATCCCTCTGTGGGAGGAAACAGGAGACTAAATGCTTGCCACATGGTGTACACTTTACCTTTAAAATATAGCACCGATTGTTGACACTGAAACAGAGATCAGCACCGCACCATCAACTTCATAAAAAGAAGGATGCAAAATTGGTTTAATTCTGAAGCGAGTGAAGGAAGACAGATATCCAAACTTTGAAAATCTTTCTTTTCTTTTTCTCTCTTACATAACTGAACCAAAAACATTAGAAGTCCTATGCGAAATCTCACTATTGAAGCAGTCGTTGCGTCCTTTAATTTTTGAAGCCAATTACATGTGTGATTTTGGCTCGAGAAATTAAAAAAGACGAAACAGTGATCAGGTCATGTACTTTATCGATTTGTTTAATGTAAATGTAAAATTCCAAGAATGTGTCAAAACGTTTTGTGCGTTTCTGCAACTGCTGAAGACCATCTATGCAGGGCGTCAAGTTTCTGTTCATGTAAAACACAGAATCGAAAGCTAGTTTCAAGGTCATCAAAACTGGTGGTGGTGTGAAGAAACCAGGGGAGGGGAGAGGGTCTTGTGACAAACGATCTATCTGTTATTCCATAAGACAACAAAAGTAGAAAACAGTCAGATATGAAGTGTGTAACACTGAATACGCGCAGACAAATAAGTCCGTCTGTTCTTATTGATCTCATCTCAGAGAGTTGACTACTATAAACTAGTAACTTGTATAGTATCGA